ACAATGGGAGGCGCGCTCAAGTGACAGACTCACCAGATTTTCATGCCAACAATATAATATAATTTATATTTTTAATAATTAATTTATTGTTTATTATATTTATTAATAAATTACACTATAAATAATTTAAATAAATTTTAAAATTGTATATTATTTATTTCCTTATTTCATTGATATTGTCTAATATATTAAATTAAAGTCAATAATTTTATTTGATTGTATATTCAATAATTTAAGACATAAGCTTACAAAACTTGAAATTTGTTGATAAAATATGAATTAATTTCTATATATAAAAATTTAACACCTATTATTTAATAAAATATTCTAATATTGAAAAGGCGTTTCTCTATAATTAAATAGTTGAGTTGAGTATACAAACTCATTAAATGTCTTAGAAAATTTTAACTTGCCTTCACATCACGCACAATTTTTGCCATTGTAATCACTACTGTCATCATTATGATAATATGTCGTTTTTAAACGTCTTGACTGTAAGAATTTAAAGTTTTAAATTCATTTCAAGCTGACGATGTATTAAGCATGTAAGAGATTTTAAATTTGTTCAAGCAATAAAACATTACTATTAAAAAAGGCGATATGTAGATTCACCCGAAGAGTAATACTGTACTCAATAATAACTTTGTTATTAAAAATACATAGAATAATACAGTACTTCTGTATTTTAATTAAAACAAGTGGATTTTTAATGAATGCAGTATTCTGTGTACTAATAATTTACTTATTTAATTTTTATTAATAATTGCATAGGTATTGAAATTTTAACACAATGTTTGCAAATTTGATACAGTACTGTATATGCGCAGTATGTATTTTAAAATACAGTATTTCAATACAGTAATAAATGCATGCAATATCGCAGTACTATATTCCATATCAATAAAATTTACTGTAGTTGGTAAGCACGTTCTACTGCATAAGTATGTTACGTACCACGAGCTCTTTATTTTCTTAAAAAAACTTTTTACGTCCGATCATCATATTGTCGCTATTAGAAATCAAGCGTACAAATGGATAAAAACAAAAAATTATTTCAATGTGCTATTACCGAATACGAATTGAACAATATTCCTATAGGAAAATTAAAAAATAAGGAGATAATTGGAAAAGGAGCATTCGGTTGCGTGTATAAATGCAATATTATCGGAGATTCAAGAATGGTGGCAATAAAAGAAGTATCTGTTGGAGATGAAAATAGCGACATGTCTATCAAATCCTTCCTTGATGAGGTTTGAAATTTTTGACAATAAATAAATCGCTCGTTACTGAAGATTTTATTCATCAATGTTTTGATTTATTTTAGTTTAAAGTACATAGCAGGGCCAAAAACCATCGTATTATTGAGTTATTTGGAATGAGCTATGGTCAGAAAGTTTACATAGACCATCGAAATATTTTTAAATAATAGCTATAAACTAACAATTTTTAATTGCAAAGATGAGAGTGTGGATTTATGCTACGTTGTGACGGAACTCGCCGAGTGTGATTTAAGGAAGTATTTAACAGACAAAAAAGACGAACTTAATTGGGATAAAAAAATAGAACTCGCAATCCAATTAGCAGAAGGGTTATTGTATATTCATAATACGATGAATGTAGCACACTGTGATTTGGTATAAGGCTACTATATATTTTGTAAAGTCGTTATTCATAAAATAATTTATTTATTTATTTATTTATTTTAGCACACAAAAAACGTTTTGATTTGGCAAGGAAACGTAAAAATTTCGGACTTTGGATTATCAAAGAATCTCAACAATGTCATGTCAAGTAAAAGCGATCCTTTTGGAGTTATTCCCTTCATTGATCCTCAAAAATTGGAGAATTCTCGTTATAAATTAGATACTAAATCCGATATTTACAGTCTTGGTGTGATATTCTGGGAAATTTCAAGTTGCTTGCCACCATTTTATCAACAGGATAATACTTCCATCATCAATAGCATTATGCAGAATGTACGCGAAGTCCCTGTTATTGGAACACCTTTATCATTTGTTCAACTTTATTCCAATTGTTGGGAAGCATCGCCTTTGCTTCGTCCTACTGCGGATCAAATTTTTAATGAGCTTAAATCTTTGTCTCTCGATCCAATGTATGAAGGGGATAACTTTTTTAATGACATACTGTCAAATACAAGCGGTAAATGTTTAATTATTTAGTTAAATATTGGAGTATCATTTTGTACTAATATATATTTATTATTTAGATTCAAATAGACACAATTATTCCGCGGATGTTTTAGAGGAATCTTTTGATGTAAGCAAAAGTAAGATTGAACAACTTTGAGCAATTTTATTCATAATATTTTAATTATTTAAAACAGGACAACATTGATAGAAAGCAAGTATAAAGTTTATAATAAGAGGTGTATGCGTGTTGATAGTATTTATTAAACTTGCTGAAAAAAGAATAAATCCATCGATTTTTCTTCATAAATAATATTTTAAATTTAATAATTAATGAAAAGTTAATTAACCTTACTTTTATTATTATACATCTAATACCTCCTTGAACGAATGTTAAATCGATAGAACGTATGTATAAAGCTTTATAAGTTTATGTTGACTAATATTGTTTCCAAATAACTCCGTTAACTAATTATAAATTTAACAATGATGGCAGCGAGTGAGCAAAATTTTATACTCACCATGTCAGTAATATTAAACTGCCAAGTAACTAATAAATAAAAAATTAATAACGATAGCAGGTAAGCCTAAGGCCGATTGATTCTTCCTCATTACTACAATATTCCTGAATGATTTCCCCAATTAATATTAATTCAATACAATAGCGTGTAAGTCTAAATAGTAAGCTCTCACTTATTGACATTTTATTCCTAAATTAAATAACTATATATTTTAATAACATATTAGCGGGTAATTTTAAATCTTATAATTCATTCTCATATAATAATCAATTCCTAAAAATAACTAAATAACTATTGATTTGATAACATTAGCGAGTAAGTTTATAGTTTTAAGTTTGTACTCATTAATATTCCATACCGAAATAATCAAATAACTTAATTTGATGATACAGCAGGCCGTAAGTTCAAGTTTTAAGTTCGTATTCCATTTCCAAATGACTAAATAACTTTATTTAATAACACAATAGCACGTAGGTTCAAGTTTTAATTTTGTGCTCATTAATATTCCATTCCTAAATAACTAAATAACTATTAATTCTAATAACATATTAGTGAGTAAGTCAGAATTTTAAGTTGCTTATTAATTTTCATTCCTAAATCAATAACTTTTTTTGATGAACAATAGCACGTAAGTTTACGTTTTAATTTTGCGCTTATTAATATTCACTCCAAAATAGCTAAATAACTTTATTTAATGATAAAATAGCACGTAAGTTCAAGGTTTAAGTTCATGCTCATTGACATTCCATTCCTAAATTACTAAATAACTCCGTTTAATGACACAATAGCACGTAAGTTCAAGTTCGTGCACATTAATATTTCATTTCTAAATAACTAAATAGCTTTACTTGATGATACATTAGCTAGTAAGTTCAAGTTTTAAGTTAGTGTTCATTAATTTTCACTCCTAAATAACTAAAGGGCTTTATTTGATAACACAATAGCATGTAAGTTTTAAGTTCGTGCTCATTAACATTCCATTCTTAATAACTAAATAACTTTATTTGATGACACAATAGGCTGTAAGTTTAAGTTTAAGTTTGTGCTCATTAATATTTTATTCTTAAATAACAATTAACTCTATTTAATGACACAATAGGAAGTAAGTTCAAGTTTTAAGTTCGTGCTCATTTATATTTTATTCCTAAATAACTAAATAACTTTATTTGATGGCACCATAGCACGTAAGTTTAAGTTTTAAGATTGTGCTCATTAATATTTCATCCTAATTAACTAAATAACTTTACTTAATGGCACAATAGGCCGTAAGTTCAGGTTTTAAGTTTGTGCTCATTAATATTTTATTCCTAAATAACTAAACTATATTTTATAACACTAGATTGTAAGTTCAAGTTATAAGTTTGTGCTCATTAATATTCCATCCTAAATAACCAAATAACTTGATTTAATAACTTATTAGCACGTAAGTTTAAAGTTTTAAGTTTATTCTCATAGATATTTCATTCCTATATAACTAAATAACTTAATTCAATAACTTATTAGCGTGTAAGTTTAAAGTTTAAAGTTTATTTTCATAGATATTTCATTCATATATAACTAAATAACTTTATTTGATAAAACAATAGGTTGTGAGTCAGATTTTAATCTTGTGCTAGTTAATATTCCATTCCTATATAACTAAATAACTTTATTTGATGAAACAATAGCTAGTAAGTTTAAGTTTTAAGTTCGTGATCATTAATTTCCATTCACAAGTAACTAAATAACTCTATTTGATGACACAATAGCTCGTAAGTTCAAAGTTTTAAATCTGTTCAAATTTATAATCTATTCCTAAATAATTAAATAGCTCTATTTGTTAAATCAATAGCACGTAAGTTCTAGTTTTAAGTTCGTGCTCATTAATATTTTATCTCTAAATAACTAAACTATTAATTCTAATGTCATAGAGAGTAAGTCAAAATTTTATAAATTCATGCTTATTAATCTCTATTTCACAATAACTAAATAGATATTACATATTAGCGAGTAAGTTCAAAGCTTTAAGTTTATGCTTATTAATATTCCACCCCTAAATTACTAAATAGATTTATTTGATGATACAATAGGCTGTAAGTTCAAGTTTTAAGTTTGTGATAATTAATATTCTATTACTAAATAACTAAATAACTTTATTTATGACACAAGACTGTAAGTTCAAGTTTTAAGTTTGTGCTCATTAATATTCCATTCCTAAATAACTAAATAACTTAATCTAATAACTTATTAGCGAGCAAGTTTAAAGTTTATTCTCGATGATATTTCATTCCTAAATAACCAAATAACAATATTTAATGACACAATAGGCCGTAAGTTCAAGTTTTAAGTTTTTATTCATTAATATTCCATTCTTAAATAACTAACTTTATTTAATGACATAATAGGCCGTAAGTTTAAGTTTTAATTTTGTGCTTATTAATAGTTTATTCCTAAATAACTAAGAACTTTATTGATGACACAATAGCCCGTAAGTTCAAGTTTTTAAGTTCATGCACATCGATATTCCATTCCTAAATAACTAAACATCTTTACTTAATGACTCGATAGGCTGTAAGTTCAAGTTAAAGTTCGTGCTCATTAATATTCCATTGCTGAATAATAATAGCACTATTTAATTATACAATAGCTCGTAAGTTCAAGTTTTAAGTTTGTGCTCATTATATTTGTTCCTAAATAACGGGATAAATTTATTTGATGACAAAATAGGATGTAGTTTAAGTTTTAAGCTCGTGCTTCTTAATATTTTATTCCTAAATAACTATTAATTTTAATAACACGTTAGCAAGTAAGTCCAAATTTTAAGTTTATGCTTATTAATTTTCATTCCTGAATAATTGAATAATTTTATTGGTGACACGATAGCACGTAAGTTCAAGTTTTAAATTTGTGCTCATTGATTTCCACTTTCAAAAATTAAATAACTTTATTTAATAACACAATAGCTCGTAAGTTCAAAGTTTTAAGTTCGTGCTCATTAATATTCCATTCCTAATAACTAAATAACTCTATTTGATGATACAATAGGCTGTAAGTTTAAGTTTAAATTTGTACCAGTCAACATTTCATCCCTAAATTATTAAATAGCTCTATCTGATGTTACAATAGCTAGTAAGTTCGAGTTTAAGTTTGTGCTCATTAATATTTTATTCCTAAATAACTAAATGACTTTGTTTGATGAAAAAATAGCTAGTAAGTTCAAGTTTTAAGTTTGTTCTCTTTAATATTTCATTTATAAATAAAAAAATAACTTTATACAATGACACAATAGTTCGTAAGTTCAAAGCTTTTAAGTTCGTGCTCATTAATATTCTATTCCAAAGTAACTATTAATTTTAATACCACATTAGCGAGTAAGTCTAAATTTAAGTTTATGCTCATTAATTTTTATTCCTAAATTACTAAATAATTATTGGTTTTAATAACATATTAGCGAGTAAGTTTAAATTTTATAAATTCATGCTCTTTAATTCTTCATTTCTAAATAACCGAATAACTATGAACTTTAATGATGTATTGACGAGTAAGTTTAAGTTTTAAGCTCGTGTTCATTAATATTTTATTCTTAAATAACAATTAACACTGTTTAATGACACAATAGGCTGTAAGTTCGAGTTTAAGTTCGTCCTCATTAATATTCTATTCCTAAATAACCGAATAACTTTATTTGATAACACAGTAGGCTGTAAGTTCAAGTTTTAAGTTCGTGCTCATTAATATTCTATTCCTAATGACCAAATGCCTTTGTTGATGACACTATAGCTCGTAAGTTCGGGGGTTTTTTTTATGTTTATTGATAACCTATTCCTAAATAACTAAATATTTTTTTTATTTAATGACACAATAGACCGTAAGTTTAGGTTTTATTTTTGTGATTATTAACATTCCATTTATAAATAACTTTATTGGATGACACAATAGGCCGTAAGCTCAGGTTTTAAGTTCGTGCTCACTAACATTTTATTTCTAAATAACTAATAACCTATTTGATCACATAATAGGATGTAAGTTCAAGTTTCAAGTTTGTGCTCATTAATATTTATTCTTAAATAACTAAATAACTTTATTTAATGACACTATAGGCAGTAAGTTCAAGTTTTAAATTTGTGTTCATTAATACTTTATTTCTAAATAACTAAATAACTTATTTGATGACACAACAGGACGTAAGGTCATGTTTTAAGTTTTTACTTATTAATATTTCATTCCTTAACTTAAGTAACTTTATTTGATGACACAATAGCCCGTAAGTTCAAGTTTTAAGTTTGCGCTCATTGATATTCCACTCCTACAGTAAATAACTAAATAACTATATTTGATGGACAATAGAACGTAAGTTCAAGTTTTAAGTTCTTGCTCATTTATATTTCATTTTTAAATACCATATACTGTAACTTTATTTGATGACACAATAGCACGTAAGTTCTAGTTTTATGTTCGTGCTCAGTAATATTCCATTATGAATAATTAAATAATTATTAATTTCAATAACATATTAGTGGGTAAGTCTAAATTTTATAATTCATGCTCATTAATACTTCATTCCTAAATAACTAAATAACTATTGATCTTAATTACATGTTAGAGAGTATGTTTAATGTTTTTTAGTTTGTTCTCATTAATATTCCATTCCTAAATAACT